TGTGTGTGTGTGTGTGTGTGTGTGTGTGTGATGAATGGAATTCCGCATCGGTGTGCAATTGTAAAACAAGGCTGTGTGTAGAAAAAAAAATCTGAAACTGCATTTAGGAGTGGCTCAATACTGGCTGGCCATATTCGGGCCGGAGTTGGAAATTGATTTCTGGCCCAAATACTTCACGCAAGAACTGGCCCTCATCTGGTTTGCCAGAGTCAAGCCAGTGCCTCCTTTGCCACGCCTGGGCCGTGTTCGGCCCAAGTGCCATGCGTTATGCCATTGCCGACACAAGGCCAGCTGTGCCGGCTTCATGCCGAATCCGGGCCAGATGCCTTTGCTGACTGGGTAACGTCAAAAATGTGGAGCGTCTGTCCTGCGGATAAATCCAAAAGAAAAACATCCCACGCAGTCTGAACTCAACATGACTCTGAACGTGAAAGCCAATGCCGGTTCAATGAAAGACCAAACAATGAGAAATAAACTAATGGGCATACTGTCACACTTAAATGTGTATTCATTTCAACCCGCATGTTACGTTAGATCAGTGGTTCTCAATTATTTTCTGTCATGCCCCCCAAGGAAGAGGAAAACATCTCGCCCCCCCCGCACGACTATAAATAGTATCTTTTGCCTATAAAATTGTTATAAGTACACCTTTGCATAACACTGTATCCTTATAAACGTTTAAGAGAATAAAAAAAGAAAGAAATATGGACCAACTTTATGGACCAACTTACAACATAGAATAGCTTTAGTAACTGGAACAGAAAAGATTTAAAGTGCATCTGAAATTCAAAAATAACATTAAATCCTTAATTTAACAATAAATATTTTTTGACTGACCATGTCAAACCATACGATACTGAAAAATAAAATTATCGTAAATTCCGGATTACAAGCCGCTACTTTTTTTCCACACTTTCAACACTGCGGCGTGTAATATGAAGCAGCTTTTTAATTTTTTTTCCATCGCGGGAAAAACATGGACCAATAAAATGAATGAGTCTTTTACTGAGGTCCAATGAGATTGTATGACTAATCACAATTTCCGCTCTTTTTGCCTTAGCGGGGAAAAGTGTGTTACCTGGCAACAGTCGACCAATAAAATGAATGAGTAGTACACAGGGGTCCAATGAAATTGTATGATTACCGGTAATCACAATTTCCTTATTTCAGTCTTTCTTCTAACCCTGATCAACATGGAGAATACCAGACGAAAAGCATACGATGCAGCTTTTAAACTAAAAGCGATCACTCTGGCAGTTAAAGAAGGAAATAGAGCTGCTGCCCATAATCTTGGCAGAGACGAGTCGATGGTGCGAAGGTGGAGGCTCCGGCAAGAAGAACTGAGCCAGTGTAAAAAGACAACCAAAAAGACCCATGCACATTTGATTTGCCCCTCACTCGGACTGGAAATAAAAAAGGTGACTCCTCCGTCATACTGAAAACAAGCGGCCACGCGAGAACACATTTTACCTGTGTTTTGAGCCGCGCAGCATCGGGCCTAAAGCTGCCAACGATGATCATTTTTAAGTGGCTGACTAGAGAAATAATTTCATATATATTTTCCCATTTATATGATTTGCATTATTCTATTTAAAGCCTAGTGGGCTGCAGTATTTCTCCTCGTAATTACACAAATCTGCTCTTTGTCTGGCCTCTTATTATGTGTTTCAGCGTAATTTCGTTGTGCAAATGCATTTATCATGCTCATAAAAATATGGAGATTATTTTAACCTTAAGAAATTGTTGCGTTTTTTTCTGCAGGGGTTCAGCGGCCAGGCGGCAGGGACGCAGAAGCAAACCCCCGCCTACTCATTGGCCAGCGGTTTATAATATGGTGCGGCGCAATTACAAAATTGATTTTTCTTCATAAATCTGAGCATGCGGCTCTTAATCAGGTGTGGTCTGTAGCCCGGAATTTACGGTACATAAAATCAATAACTAATAATGCATTCAAACTAATCACCAACATTATCTCTGGAGCACAATAGTAAAAAAAAAAAAAAAAACTTTAACCAGCAAAACAAAAACATATAAAAGAATTTGTGTTTTTTTTTTTAATCAAAATTGGCCCTGATCCTCTTCCGTAGATGTCTGGATTAATGGCTACAATGAGCACGTTTTGCAATGCACAGCTTTTCGAAGCGAGGTTTGAAGCAGGACACAGCAACTCTCGGCTCCTGCTCAATGCGTAACCGGGACCTGTATTTTAGTTTATTGAAGTAGCAGTCACAAAGCGGCATGATTGTTGGCAATATTCGGCACGTTTTCGCTGAAAAAAAACTAAAGCAGCTTGTCAGCGTGATTGGGGTGGAATGTCTTTAAGTGACACCTATATTATTTGGCTTCATGCTGTCCGCTACCAACATTGTTAGACACAGTAAGAAAATCGATCTTTCCTCGTCTGCCACCGCAGTCACATTGAAGCCAAGCGCTCCATACGCCTCGTCATATTTCCTCCCTGAGAATGCTCCCTGCGCAAACTCTGCCAATGAGAGCGCCACTGCCCTCTAACGTAGTGGAGGTGCAACTGCACGTTATTTTAGGACAGTCTTCTTCTTCTCCTTTCGGCACGTCCCTATTCAGGGGTCGCCACAGCGAGTCAGTAATTTCCATCCGCCCCTGTAAACCGTCCTACCAACTCGCATGGTCGTCTTGGCAAAAGTTTTACGCCGGATGCCATTCCTGACGCAACCCTCCCCATTTCTCCGGGCTTGGGACCGGCACTGGGGAACAGTGCACCCCCAGGGGAGGGCACTGCCCCCCAGCGGCTGGGTTACGTTATTTTAGGACAGTAAAAAATAAAAAAGCATGTTCCCCGAGGTCAAACGCGCCCCCCTTGACGGAGCCTCGCGCCATGGGGGGCGCGCCCCACTATTTGAGAAACACTGCGTTAGATATAGGCGCCGTTTTTTTTTTAATTTTTTTTAACAAACTTCAAATATATGGCTGTTGGAAAAAAACGACCGCTAAATATAACTACTATATTGATAAATATAATTTAGAGTGAGGTTTTGGGTTTTTTTAAGCCACGTAAATAATATGATAAATGATACGGCCACATTTGAAATATGAAATATGCGATTAATATGTTTTTATTCTTTTTTTGCCGCTTTGGACATGCCATTCTATCTTATGACTGCAAACGTGTATTTTCTTAAAAAAACATTACAATACAATATTAAAGCCCGACACCTAAAATGTAACAATACTTTAGACTTTTAGAGTGAATTAATAGAGAACAGAATCTAGTACAGGGTATACAGTATTCGTCCAGCGCGACCTTTGCTTTGTTTATAAATAGACGTCTTGAAGTTGCTAGGAAAATATTTACGGTGTTTCCTGAATGTCTCACGCGGCTCAGCCAATAACAGCCCATTTCTGGCCATCAACAGGAAACCAAGCTAGCGTCCTTGGAGATGTTCCCATCAGTATAAGCTTGTCGTTTTGCGTCCTTCGCGAAAAAATGCCCCCCTTCCTGAGCTGACAGAATCTGGAGAGCCAAAGTGCAGTCGGTAAATTTGAACGTAAGCTCCTTCGCCGTCCACAAGCTTTAGTTTTCGACCTGCTTATCGAGCCACAGCTAAATGGCGCCTAGCTATGTTCAATGTACTGTATTTGAGACGCTTGCCATTCTACGGATTCATGCGTCGTACATTGTATATAGGTTTAAGTATTACCCTTAACATTACTTATTTGTTGACCTCTGAGACAGTTTTTTGCTCTAATGTATTAAAAACAAACCGCGTTCTTTTGATGCTTACATTTCTACCTGCAGTAATCATGAGCGCGCCTCTTGTCATTGGTGACCAGCTCATCCTTGAGGAGGACTTTGATGAAAACTATATTCCCTCTGACCAAGGTACACATAGAGCATGTTTAAAAAAACAAAAAAAAAACAATAGTTTACTACACTGAATGCTGTCATAATGTCCAAACATTGGAGATAAATACGAAAATGTATTTATTGGGTTTATTTATTGTCATGTCTGACCGTGTCACAAGTCACCAGTTTTGCATATTATTATTTAACTATATTATTTTAAACTCCACTCTTTCTTTAACGTGTTATTTTCCCCATCTTATTAGAGATCAGAGAGTATGCAAAGGAGATAGGCATTGATCTTGACAATGAGACGGAGCTCATGTGGCTGGCCAGGGAGGGAATTGTTGCCCCTCTTCCACCGGAGTGGAAGCCTTGGTAAGTCAGGGGATGTACTCAACTCAAGTCTTTATGGGATTTTCTTAGCGAATAAAACACTATAATCCGTGAAAAGACATACAGGTGTGGCATTTGAACAGGTAATACAATGCTATATGTGCATTTTGTATGGCCATAACTACATATTAAAGGTGACAAAAATTTAATTTTCACCTTTAATTGTCTGACAACCCAGTTCAAATCACTTTTTGACCTCTAACCTATACAGCACATAACACCTGCTTAATTCAGGTTTCAGTTCATTTCACCTCATTTCCTATTGCTGATTTTAGACTAACCAGCTATAACTACAACATTTTCACAAACATTATCAGGAAGCTAAATGGGATAGCCACATTTTATAAACAGTTGACAGTGTAATGCAGTACAATTCTACACTAATGCAATACATGGTTTGCTCAATTAATAATGCTTTGGCATTCTATGGTTGGCTGGCGACAAATCCAGGGTGTACTCTGTCTCTTGCCCTAAATCAGGTGGGATAGGCTCCAGCACACCTGCTACTCCAATGAGGATAAGCAAAATAGAAAATGGATGGATGTTCTGACAGTTTAAAGTCAGACTGAAATTTGACAACATTTCTATGGCATGGATGGTAGGCTTCCACAATCAGGATTTTGAAAACAAAAATCGATCACTTACTTAAAAAAGGGTGAAGGTGGACCAATCTATCCAACCTATTTAAACAACTTGTTTCTTCACTGTATAGTTGACCCCCGTTCTTTGTAGGGGATTAGGATCAGACCGATGAGTATCTTAATATATATTAATGTTCAAATGCATGTAGTGTATAAATGATCCGCTGCATAACTATGACGGCTTTGAAGCAACCAAAAAATAAACACGTACTGTGATTTTATTTGTATATTTTTAATTTTTTTATTTTACTCTTTGCCCAGGGATTTCTTACATAAATTTTCCCCATTCTGGCACCAAACTGCCGAACAGCAATCAGCATAAGTGCAACAACTCATTTTGTGCTTGTTTTCACAAAAATCAACTGACTCAAAGATTTTATGATTATGCTACCATATCTTTGTCCTGCATATCATTCAAAATCCCCCAAATTAATAGGATGGCTCACTCAGCTCTATATATACACATTTGTAACACTATTGAGAATTGACAATATCATATGATAGATAGGTTTTTAGAGGGCAGATATTTTGTGACAGCCCATGCACTTCAAACTGTCAATGGTTCTTGTGGAAAAAAAAAAATCAGTGTACTTTTGAGATTTCTGTGTTGGTGGCAACTTAAATTGAAATCTTTCATTGCTGATTCAGCAAACCAGTCAGATAAGTTTTCTTCTTATTCTAGCTAAACTACACCAATTTCTTAACTCTAATTTAAATGTTTATTCCGCATTGGTGACGAACAAAACATATTCGTCGACAGGCCTGAAACGCACTACCCGTTCGGGTATCTCCCATGGCCACCACGCTCTGCTGTGACTTGTGATTGACTGGCCAACACTCCAAAGTGTAGTCTGCTTTTCACCTAACTCTCAATCAGGTTGGATAGGCTCCAGCACCCTGCATCTCTGAAAAGGATCATTGATTTAGAAAATTGATAGCTGGACAGATGTTTTGACCAGTCACTGTGCTCATTAATGACCTGCCTACACTGAAATCAAATTTAAATTAAGCAAAACAAACATAATTACACCAAATTCGCATTATCCCTGCTCTGCAAACTTGATGTTATTGTGCAATGACACAATTTTATCTTCCCACTTCTCGAATTGTCCAAATTTATCTTCTCTGTGTTTTGCTTCCCACTGAAACACACACTCGATTTGGTTCCGATTTTTTATCACTCAATTTGGTTTAGGATTTAATCACTGATTGAAGAGTGTTCTAAAGACAATCCAATATCAAGTTCCTCTGTGTTTGCCTCACCTTTATCCATCCATCCATCCATCCATTTTCTCACCCGGTTATCCTCACAAGGGTCACTGGTGTGCTGGAGCTTATGACAGCTGTCTTTGGCCAGGCAATTGCATGCCTCACTTTTTAAGTATCATAATTTTTTTGCGATTGAGTCCAAGCAAAAATTATGCAAAATCACCCTTAACAACTAATCTTGTCGCACATCTTGTGGCACAGTGAGTCATTAGTTTTAGGACCACAATGTCGCAACCATATTTGAACAACCATGTGATATGCTTTGACTCATGATTCATTAATTTCATTCTCCATATTTCCCTCTTCCCCATCATTCTACGTCAAGTAAATCTTTATTATCTGAAGCCAGAGAATCTCGTTACACATAATTTGGTGTTTTTTCTTTTGTATTTACTTTTTTTGTTCGTTTTTTTGGAAGAAGGGGCTTTATTTACATTGCTGTCGAGCTGTTTGTGCATATTAAGCGTAACCAAATCAATACGGTGAATTCATCACTGTAAATGTACTGTGCTGTATCTGACAATAATGTACTTTGTGGCATCTGGCCAATGACTGACTGTTGTAGACATGTAAGAGTGGCAGCGCCAGCGTCTATTGAGCTTTCTTTACCATCTGCAGCGAGCTGTCAACGGCAGGCCACCACCAAGCTACTTGAATCAGTATCATTTCCGTTACTTGTTGTTGTACTCCCTGCAGCCAAGATGTTACAGGAGACCTCTACTATTACAACTTCTCTTCTGGTGAGTCCACTTGGGATCACCCCTGTGATGAGCACTACCGCCGCCTTGTTATCCAAGAACGTGAACGCCTCCAGCGCACTGCTGCCGCCAAGGGCTCAGGGACCAAGAAGAAGAAGAAGAAAGAAAAGGAGAAAAAAAATAAAAAGAAGAAGGATGCAGCCCAAAGTGGAGTGAGTGGTTTTCCAATTTTTCATTACAGCAGAATACAATACATTGAACAATATTAAGTAATACTTTTTAGCATCATTTTCCAACGTGCAAGAAACACAGAAAACAAAAATCAGCCCAGTCAAAGGTTTTTTGGGGGGAAACAATCACTGCCAAAAACAGAATGATAACATTTACGTGTGACAACGTCTGACTTTGCAATTGTAGCCCTCTCTCGCTCTCTTTTGTAGGACCTGAGTTCAACATTGGGGTCTTTGCCGCCTCCATTAAGAAGCCTGGCTCCTCTCGGTGGTCTAGTTGGTCCCGCCCTTGGCCCAATCTCTGGATCTGGATTTCCACGCTCTATTGGGCCTGGAGGACTTGAACCCCTCAAAGCATCTCCTGGGCCTCTTGGGGTAAGCCACAGTAAATTATACAATGGGGTCGTATTCAAAACTACAGTGGGACCTCCAAATGTAAATGGGAAAAAAATGTACGATTTGGAGCTCAGCTATATGTTTCCTAGATGGGTGAATGAGTTAACTATGATGATAACCACAGAACCGGAAATGGAATTTACTACAGTGTCGGAGAGCAACTGACTGGCTATAACTAAATTAGCAACAGAAACAATATCCAGTGGTACCTCTACTTATGAAATTAATTGGTTCTGGAAGAAATCTCTTAACTAGAAAATTTTGGACGTAGAGATGTGTTTTCCATGTAAATCCCCTAATCCATTTCATTTTTATTCTTTATTCAAAAAAGAATAAAGAATAAAAATAATGGTCATTTAACTTATAACTGCGTCCTCATCGTTTTTTGCTCCCTTTAGTCCATGTTTCCTCTCAGAGTGGTTTTTGCATGGCGTTTTGTAAAGAACTGATCCAAGGATGTTTGCTTTTGTCGGCTTTTAACAATCCTTCGAAAATGTCTAAGGCACAAGTGTCAAACTCAAGGCCCGGGGGCCAGATCTGGCCCGCCACATCATTTTATGTGCCCCGCGAAGGCAAATCAAACATGTCAACTTCCACAATGCTTGCTAAAATCTCTACCAAAATTTCAAATTCTCATATGTAATAAATAAGAGACAAATTGTTAGCATTTTTTTTGTCACCAAACCCCTCAGTACAGTAACTTAAACAATAGTTGAATAAACCGTTATTATTGACTTTTTTTATTTGGTTTCAGTCATCACGGCCCTCCAAGGGAAACGGTAACTAAAATGTGGCCCATTACAAAAATGAGTTTGACACGCCCGGTCTAAGGCTAACATCAGCATAGTGAGCGATCGCCCGACTGATGAACACTTGTTCTGGGTGGTTTACATTTACGTGAAACTATCAGAACGTCTCATGGCCCGAAGGGTGAATCACGAGGACGCTGGAAAGACACATATCTATCTATTCATCTATACACACAAATAGACACATACGGTAGAGGTCCCTCTTAGCCAATGGGATGCCTGGATGATGCTCGGGAATAGCCAATGGCAGAGCAGCTATGAGTATGTTGCATTCAGGAAACTTGGAGCTGCAAGCAGCGGCCCATACTGTATTTTTACCTTTAGTATCTTGAAATTTCTTTCGTAACGAGGCCATATTTTCCTGTTGAGGCGTTTCGTAATAATCTGTATATATAATACATTTTATTTATATATA